CCAAAAGGCAACTAGAAAGATGAAGGCAGTCAATGAAATTCACTGGCTATTGCCTTAAGAGCTGGATGGCAAAATACAGCTGCTGGATTCTCTCAGGTGCATTCCTAGGAACATGCAGAGACTATTGGAGCAAACAGGCTTGTGTTAGTTGTAGGCGTGCTCTTCTCATGGCAACTTTCTTGGCCACTTCTGCCACCGGTAATTACTAAAGCATATACAAACAAATATGGGGAAATATGTGCATGCTTAAACCCTGACATTATGTTATGGTTCTTTGTGCTAACGAACAATAGCCTCACAGTATAGTTTATTACTGTAAAAACAGAAAGATACAATTTGTAAAACATAAAATTATCTGCTATAAACAAAGGCTCTGATTGAAAGAAAAATAAACTAAACAATCATACTGTAATTGGCTTAGATGCCTTAATCAGTGCCAATTATGCCGTGGCTGCTATGGTTAACAGGGATTAGATACTACTTTCTGTCACTTAAATTAGTTAAAACATTGTGTGAATGTTAATGATTTATTTGCCTGTAAATATCTTAGTAAATATGTTAAAATTTTTATGTGTTCAACTAAGAAGTTACATCTGAAAAATATTTTCATTTTGACATTGGAATTAATTATTAGTGTTCAGTTATATCATCTTTCTCATTATGCCTATGCTTCACTAAAAGTAGCTTTAAAATACGTAATATATATTTATAATCTATTTTCACACAGCTATAACAAGCCTAATAATAGGTGAGAATAATTATTTCCCAAGTTTGGTATTAGATTTGATGTCTGAAATTTCTTCTCAGGAATAATTTTCTATGCAGTATAATTAAAACTTTTGTTTAGAGAACCTATTTTGGTTTGCTAAAGGGAACTTCTAAAAAGTCATAATTTATGCTAACATTTTAAAACAAATTCTAAATATTCAAATTCACAATAATTGACTGATGTATTTCTACTTCAACAATAGTTGGTCTTTCATCACTTCTGGTGTTTTCTTGGAGGATAAATGCCTAGAAAAATGGGTTAAAACAATTTTGACTGAGAATGAAGTAGCAAGTTAATAAAAAAACCCTGACAATAACACCCCAATAGAAGCAAACTATTTTCCAAACCCTTTATGAAAATCTGTTCTTTGAAAAGGAAGGTTTCATGTTGTTCTACAGAACACTTCTTGTAAGATCAAACTGTGAATCCCCAGCAGCACCTCAGCTGTTCCAGAAATACAGATAAAATGCACAAAGCAAAACAACACTTTGTGTCCCATCCCTTCTGAAAGTCTTGGTCTATTAATCACAATTCTTGGTATTGCCCACCACCACCAGCTTCTTTTAATCAACTGCTTTTATACTCATTCTGGTAATTGCTTGTTATCCATTTCCACACCACTGGCTTATTCATTATTTCCAGCAAAACAGTACAGACCTCATTTTATGGAAGTGATTTGTGTACAGCACATAACACAATTTCTTTTTAATTTTAGTGGAGTTTGATTGAAATTTAATTCAAATTCAAATAATTCATTAAATTTTTTTCTTTCTAAATTAATTTCAGTATAAGTGGATTCTATCTTTCTTGATTTCTTTGAAATTCTAGTGATTTAAAAATAAATTTAAATTAAAAATACTGAAATTGAAAAGCATTGAAAAACACAATTTCACAAAGAAAATTTTGATGTAAAATCAGAAAACAGTGATGCAGAAAGAAATTTCTTCCTCTGGCAATACACATTTCCAAATTTTTGTATTTCTAGAACAAAAAAATACTTTAGAATTGCATAAGTTTAGAAATAGCTACAAATGGTAGTCAGAATTCATTTCATAACAATATTTAATAAGCTTCTTAAAAAACTAATTTCCAAAAATAGCTGTAAATTTCTAAAAATTAAAATATTGTCAATTTTAAAAGAAATAAGGGATTTCTTAATTTCTGTATGGAAAAACTCCCATTGTTGATAAAAAATAAATGTACATTTACCTCTCCTAAATCAGAAATGTTACAAGAAGCATGTTTTTCTCACAAACAAAAAAGATTAAACCTTTTTAAAGCTTGTTATGAAAATATCTATTATGTACAGTGTACTTTTTCTAACTATTCTAACATGTATATTGTTTGAAGCATCTCCTGGATTTTCAACTTTAAAACAAATGTAGTAGAATTTGAAATTTATATAAATTTGAAATTTATATTTTCAAAAAACATTGACAATTGAGGTAATAATTTCAGCCTCTACAACAAGTTGTTTTTAATATCATATATTTTATCTGGTATTTTTATCTAATTATGTTTGGAAATCTCTTCCTGAAATCACTTAACTTGTGATAATTGAGAAAATTTGTTTAGGTAATTTTGGAGATTTGTATAGCTTCTTTATACTTTGGGAGACAGAGTAGTTTGACCACTTCAAACAGAGAGGAAAAAAATACTCATATCATTTTTTTTAAAAAGTCCCTCAAAAAACTCTGAGCATATAAAGCCACATTAACTATGTGGCACTTTTCCGTTATAAATTCATTCCATTTGGCATCATGAGCATATAATCTCCCACGGCAATCTCTCCTGACATCACCACACAGAAAGGCAGCTAGAACACTTTTAAAAGACATACATATGCTCCCCAAAATATTGGGACAATTTGGGATGAAAAGGTGATCTTGCATTGAATACTGTTCAGTAGAAGAATGATAAACCAGCACATTTGAGCACAGAGGCAAATGGCAGGGTACTGCAGAAATCTCTTTTCTACCTCATCCCAAATGTGAGGCTGCACATTTTCCTGGCCAAAGGACCCGGTGCCCCTCAGCCCCTCCTTGGGAACAGCACAGTTAACAGAGCCCGACGGGAATTTAAAGATCTAGAGATCTTCAGGAGGAGACAGCAACCAAGGCTTCACTTCTCCCTCCCAAAAGTGAAACCTATTGCAAGTAAAGTGAGACAATTAGTGCCTTTGGAACCTGGGGAGGGGTTTGTGCCAACCTTGTTACAGCTGCCTAAATATTAGGGAAGGGAAAGGAAAGGAAAGGAAAGGAAAGGAAAGGAAAGGAAAGGAAAGGAAAGGAAAGGAAAGGAAAGGAAAGGAAAGGAAAGGAAAGGAAAGGAAAGGCATGAATGTTACGAAACAAAAAAATGAAGGGAGATCGTGTACATACGAACCTTATGATGTGATGTGATTTTTCACATATTTTAATAACAAATATTTGATCTGTGTATTTGAATTTGTGACACTTTGACATTTAAATATTATGGTTTAATATTAATATTATCTGCTATTAACTTCAGCATGTTTTTCTGAAAAATCAGGGACTTCAGAAGTTGATGAGAAATTTCTGTGATTTAAACCAAAATATATTGTGAGTATAAATTAAGTTCTTGATAAGTATGCACAGTCTCCTGCAAAAACTCACAAGCCACTGGCCTTTTCCTTGAAGGTGAGTGGTACCAGCTTTGTCTTTTCTCTGGAGGAAATCTGGAGGAAATCCCTTCTGCCCTCAACCAGTTCCCCTCACTGGCCCTCCAGGTGCTGCTTCTAAACCTCTTAGAAGGAAGGGCATGAGGAATTGCTGGGGTCAGTTTTGAAGTCAGTTTTTATTTAACCTATAGGATTTCATGTATGCTGGTTAGCACTGTGAGCCCAGCTGGAGTAATTATATGTGTCTTTCTGATATGGATTATTTTAATTTGTACAATATTTTATATATATGTGTGTGTGTGTGTGTGTGTGTGTGTGTGTGTGTATATAGTTATTCTAAATCACTTTAGAGTGCCAAGTTCTAGACATACACTTTTCATAGTTACAAAACCACTTAGTTAAATTACACTTCTCACTGTAAAAGGGGATTTGGGTCCACTCCTTCCCAGTTAAACCAGTGTATGAGGTGGCTCAGGAACTGGATAATAATCATCCTTGAGGTCCAGAAGAGCATGTGCTAGAGGGTAGGGTACCAGCTGGGAGAACTGGGAACTAGGTCATATGCTTTTTCCCCATGGAGACATAGTTTATTTGTATTTGTTTTGTGATTTTTTTTTTTATTTTTCCCTGCAGTGAATTTCAATATTTGCAGGAATTGGCTCCATACAGAATATTCTCTGCATCAGAAAACAAGCTGCCGGTGCAACCTACTCCTCTGCACACCGTGCTCTCCTTGGCCCCCTGCCCTGTGCATCTCCAGCAGCAATTTTGTCGGGGCCAAGACTTTGCGGTGATTGGGGGTTCTTCAGCAACGAAGTTTCTTGATGCTTCCCGAAAGCATTCATGGGTGCTTACTTCCTGCCGGAGCTCTGTGCTGACTGTGAATGGAAAGCAGCAAATAAAAAAAAAAAAAAAAATTTAAAAAAAGGGGGGGGAAAAAAGGAAAAAAATTAAAAAGCACAGAAGAATTCGCGTTTTTCTGGAGGGGAAAAAAATAGTTATTTCCCATGATGAGGACGGGGGGTGGGGGGAAACCGAAACCCCAAAAGGTATTTCCCAGCGCCTCGCACGCGGAGCTCTAGGAATGAGTCAGGGCTCTCAGTGCTGCCGCGGCCGGCGGAGCCCGCGCCCGTGCAGCGCCGAGCGCGGCGGGGCCGGGCCGGGGCCGGGCCGGGCCGGGCCCTGCCGGGACCCCCTGGGGCGCTCGCCCCGGGCCGTGCCTGGCCGCGGCGCTCGCGGCGACCCTTGCGGTATGCGGCTGCCTTTGGCAGGGGCACATGAAGGATTTCATTGAGTGTGAAGACAGAGAGCAGAGACAGAAAGCAGAAGGAGGCGGCTGCAGCCTTTGTAGTCGGGGAGGAATGCGGAAATGTTGAAGCACTATGTCAAACTTTTTTGAAACGGGGTCAAGTCACATTCAGCCAGCGTGGGAAAGCAAGGGGAAAAAAAAGTTGAGGAGAGGGAAAAAAAAAAAAAAAGAGGCTGCAAGCTGCTGCTGCTCCCAGGCAGAACAGAGGCCGGGGGAGCGAGCGAGGAGCGGCAGCGCAGCGCCGGGGCAGCGGCGGAGCGGCGGCGGCGCCGAGGGCCGCAGCTCCCCGGGGGCCGCCGGCCGCGATTTTTATTTCGCGTTTTCCTTTTCCCCGGGCAGGGTGGGGGCGGGAGGAGCGGGCTGGGGGACGAGTGCGAGCTCCTTCTGCGCCAAGGTGCAGCCCGGCGGCGGCGGCGGCAGGAGGATGCGAGCCGAGGGCGGCCGAGCCGCGGATCAGCTACCTGTGTGGCCCGGGCGGCCGCTGCCGGGACCTGCCGGAGACACCGCCATGTGAAGGGGCAGACCCCAGGCCGGCTCTCCACCCCGCCTCGCTCAATGGGAGGTTTGTGTTAGAGAGGACTCACCCCCTCCCTCCCCCCCCTCCACCCCCCGGGGCTGAGGATTATTTGGGGAACTGGTGGCGGTGCAGGCGGCCGTGGCGCACACCAGGTAACGCGGGGCGCCCATGTGCTCCGCGCACCCGGCCCCGCGGCGTGGCCCACACGCCGTCCCCTCCCCGCCCGGCCCGGGAGCCCGCACCGCTCACCCCCCCTCCCCGCGGGCGGCACCGCGGACGCGTCCCTTCGGCGGCCGGGCCGGGGCAGCCGCCTCGGGGTCGGTGCGGGGGCGCGGAGGGGCCCGCGGGGGAAGGGGTGCCCTCAGGGGGAGCCGCCGGGAGGGGTCCTCTCTGCGTCCTGCCCAGCAGCGGAGCCGGGCCCCCCTCCCCGCCCCGTCCGCTGAGAGGAAGCGCGGGGACGCGGCTCCCCGCGTGTCCCCCGCCGCCACCCCCCGCCGCCTGCGGGGCGCCCGCGGAGGGGAGCTCGGCGGCGCGGCGGGGGCACCCCGCACACCGGGCTGGGCCAGGGGCACCCCGCACACCGGACTGGGCCGGGGGTGCCCGCACACCGAGCTTGGGCAGGGGCACTCCTGCACACCGGGCTGGGCCGGGGGCACCCCTCACACCGGGCTGGGCCGGGGGCACCCCGCACACCGAGCTCGGGTCCCCCGCACACCGGGCTCGGGGTGGCCCCCCACGGCGGCCCGCGCTCGGTGATGCTGCAGGCGGGGGGCGCAGGGCTGCCCGGTGGCTGGGGCGATGCGGTGCAGGGAACTGTGGCAGCTGTGCTGGGAACTGGGTCCGGCGAGGCAGGGAGCCGCCTCCGGCTGCAGCCCAGGAGAAGGGTTGAGCAGTGGGCACAGGTTTCCTTCCGATTGCGCTTTTCATCTCCAGCTAAGGTGTAAAATCAGCGTAAGTGTGCGGAATAGCCCTCGCGCTTTGTGTTTGAGTTCCCCTTAAGAGATCCCCGACTCACCTGTCTGGGGGTCATTCATCCTAGCGCGGTAGAAATGCGGTGTAGGAGAGGGCTACAGTCCAGGGGGTCACTGTATCGCTGTATTGAAAAGGGTCAAGGGAAAGGGAAGAATTGATACGGAGCTTTGTGAGGGGAGAGGGTTTGCCAGTCCTGCAGAAAGTGGATGAAACTGGATGCAAAAGTGCTTCTGCTCTCTGGCCTCATGCACTCTGCAGCAGAGCATGCTGTTCCTAAAGACATCTTTGACCATGCTGCTTTGCAGAGAGCTGCTGTGACACATGTAGCAGTATCCACAGCCAATACTCTTGCTTGTTAGTAAATTTGCTGAAGTGCGTATTTCTGAAACTACTTCAGCATACAATGCTTCATAACATATCATTGCCATCTAACTATGCATGTATTTCACCTCTCCACAGGTGCTTTGTTTCTTGCAATGTGTTCATGATCTGTTCATGAAGGGCTTAGCACAGGAGAGAGCAGACCAAGGTAGATACCTCCAAATGCTATTATTTACTACCAAGTGACACTAATATAACAAAATACATATCCAGGACTCCACCATGTTAAATCAAGAAAACTTTGAGTCCTGAAATCCTGACATGAAATCCTGTTCTTGCAGTGGTACACTTCCTCTCACACATGCCAAGTTAGCTCTGCCATCCCCATCACCCATGTGTCACGGGGTCATCATCTTTAGCCCATTTCAGTAAAACCCCTCAGCATGCTGTTGCTCTGTAGCTGAAAGCCTACCTAGCCTTCTGCGCAGACCGTGATAACTTTGTAGTGTATCAGCCACTCCGGGACGTTGATACATATGTCACCCTCCTGCTTCGCATCTTCCTTTCCACCACGATTTTGCTTTGCATATCTGTATTAGCTTAATTTTAGCAGGTTTTGAACAATGCAAAGTCATGATGTAAACTAAACTAAACTCACTTTTTTTGCTTGGTTTGTCCTCCAGATTTGTTTGGCTTTACACAGGCAATGCTCCCAAAGACTGTATGATAATTCCTGGTGGCCAAAAGCGGAGGCGCATTGTGGCCAGTACAGAAAAGGAGCAAGAACAGGAGGGCAAGAGCTTCCCGCTGCCTCTGTGGCAGAGGTACCAAGTGCGTGGCCTGTCTGCATCCCAGCAAAGTACTGGTTTTCAGAAAGTGAGTGAGACTGAGAGCCACCTTGAGGCACTTGGAGAGGAGGAAGAGGACTGGTGCCAGCATGGATAAGGACAGCACAAACCTGGCTGACCAGCAGTACGAGTGTGTGGCTGAGATTGGGGAAGGAGCCTACGGGAAGGTGTTCAAAGCCCGAGACTTGAAGAACGGCGGTCGCTTTGTTGCGCTGAAGCGGGTACGGGTGCAGACCAGCGAGGAGGGCATGCCGCTGTCCACCATCCGAGAGGTGGCAGTTTTGAGGCACCTGGAGACATTCGAACACCCCAACGTGGTCAGGTGAGGAAGTGGGACCACTGTCCTGATCAGTGAGGTCCTGGGTTGAGTACGTGAATTGGGTGAGCAAGAGTTTGGGGGCATAAATGGAATGGACACTAGTTTGGGTTTGTGGCTGAAGTGAGCACTAAACTGTGTGCATGGAATGTGGTTTGAGGTTTCAGCAGGCCATGGTGAGCCTGCCAGACCTCACCTCATCCCTGTGCATTGCCTCCCACACACACAAACACCCATCTCCAGAGGCATAGGTGTGTGATTTAAGTGTTGGAATGGATGGGCAAGGAGCCATATATATACTATTTCCTCAGGCATGACAGAAAATGAAAAAAAACCCAACCTCTCCCTGGTTTTGTCTGACCTACTAGTACTGCCAGCTGCAGCTGATTTTTACCAGCTCTGTTCATTACAGAAATGGCAAGAATGAGAGCAGTAGTGAAATGCACATTCTGCCTTTTTATATGCTTTTATAGAGAGCTATAGATTATGGTGTTAAAGAGAAGCAACAGCTTAAGACTTCAAGCTTTTCCTGCAGCCTTAGGGTTGAGTACTGTTTGGTACTAATTTTCACCGCGAGCTGCTGATTCTGCTACCAAGAGGGCAAAAGTACAGGTGTCAGACCTTGCTGGCAAAATGGTGGCAGTGGCCCCAGGATGTCCTTCCTGTTGTGTCAGTAGCATAAATCCTGGATAAATGGTCTGTGCTCTCAATGATAAAGCTAGCCCTACTGTAACCTCTTACATTTTTCTGTAGCTAGAAACCTTCAGCATGTTTTATTAAAATTAAGAACTTCAAAAAGTAAGTTTCACTTCACAGATACCACATTGAAACTGGTCAGCATCTTGCTGGTGGTGCTATATTAGCAAGAGTATTTCCATTCTTTGTGTTACTTACATGCATATTACACAGCAAAAGGAAAACATTTTTGTGCTTCACTAACACCAAGACTCTTTCAGTCTTAGAGAAATAGATACTTTTAACTCACAGGTGAAATTCAAAATGCCTTGCACAATGTAATCATCCTTTTTTGTAGGGTCTGAGATCAGGGCTTGTTTATTGGGCACAAGAGGAAAGATGAGACGGAGAATAATATTTAAGTGACAAAAGTCACTTGCTAGAGATGAATTCACTTTTGTTTATTTCATTTCAAGGCAGTTTAATGTGGCAGTCTCCTTTATGTCAAAACTGAATAGGCAAAGTGTGTGTATTCTGAAATGCTGATCATGGAGTGCTTGTCATCGGTCTCCCTTTAGTGGGCAATGGGTCACATACAGGCTGTAACTTCCATTGCTCATCAAGCAAATCCACAATTCAGTTAATAACCATTATCTTGGCTGGCACCTACTAATGCCAAAGGCTTAGTCAGTATACTTAAAAAGTGGGCATCCTATGTTTGATCAGTGAATCAAGTGACTTGGTTTAGAGGAGCACGCACAAAGTTCATCCTTGGCAGTAGAGGAATAATTGGGATTTGTCAAAATCTTTGAAATGCAGCCCATCAATTTATGGGAGAAAATGTGGGTTTAGTTGTCCAGGTTTAGGCATTAATATATTTGAAAGCTAAATCTTGTTTAGGAATAATTTAACATAATACTTAAGAATTTTTCTACCGTTAACATATTTCCATATGATGTAAAAGATCTTTTCTTAAAAAGCTTTCTAATCTCACATGCAGCTAAATGAATGAAATAGAGTTCTTGTTTTCCAAAGAGCTATTTGATGAACTGACTATGCAACTGCAGGCTTCTTTTGCTTGATCTAAGTGCAGTTGAATCTCAACAGAGCATTGCATAAATACATTGAAACTTCAAATATTTTTGCAAACTTGAATGAAAACTAATTCTCTGCAAAGCAGTGAGTATTTCAACCAGCAATATGAGAATGTAATTTCAATATAAAAATCTGTGGAAGTGTGTTTCAGGTCCTCATAGTGGTGTTGTGAAGCCTGTACCTTTTGCCATAAGCAGCATTTCAGACACAAGGGGCTGGTTGGTAATGTATCAGGTATCAGGGTGCCTGGGACATTGGTTGCACACCTTTTTCCACAAAAAGGCAGAAGATAAGCAATTTCAAACATTATCTCTTCTAAAATGTGAGGAATGCTATTCCTCACATTTTATTACTCATGTTCTTTGTCCATATTTTTAACCTGTAGGGCAGATAAGGAGCCCTCTGGAGAGACCAGAATCATATCCTTCAAATGGAAAAATTATTTGAAAACATTTAAATGGCCCAGTTCTGTTACAAAATAAGGTAGAAGAGTTTGCAATTTATTGAAATTAAACATCTATTTTTGTACTATGTAAATATACTCAGAAAAGGAAATACTATAAAAGAAGTTCTGCAATTTTAAGCAGCTGATCTAACTGTACTTATTTATTGAGCATATGCTCAAAATATTTTAATTGTTTGGGCATGCATTCTGGAAACTGATCTCATGGCCAGGCTAATAAATAAAAGCAATTCCAAATGCATTGTCTGCATACTGGATTAAAATGTACATTGTTTTCACAGCACTGTGATAACAGCACAAATATTTTAAACCAAATATTTTTGATTTTGAGAGGACCTCTAGTTTTTTTCTGAATATTACAAGCAACTAGCCTGAGAGAACTATGCTGGAACTGCAGATGCTGTGTTGTATCTGTTACCTCTGAGCAGTGGCATGTGTGATCCATGAGTTGCTCAGTGCAAACCAGCAGCCATTCAGTGAGTCAGGATTCAGACAGACTTTGTACAGATGAGCTGCACAGGCCCTGTGGTCTGCTGTGGTATTCTGGCATCAGCTGACAGCAGAGGTCACAGGCCACATGAACTTAGGCTGAGTGTCATTTTCAACTCTGATGGTACCTCTGGGCTTCTCCAGAGTGTGCAGTAGGGATCTCAGCAGCCCAGGGCTTCTCTGCTACCGTGAAGTGGAGCTGAATGTGAAGAGCAGTGTGGTAAGGAAAGACCCAGTACTTTGTAGGCATAGGCAGAGCTCCATGGCTTTGCTGGTCATAGAACAGGATTCAGGACTAGCAGTGCTCCTGCAGCCCAGGTTTGTCTTAACAGTTGTAGAATCACTTCCTGTGAGAAATAGTTAGAGCCAAAACTGGTTTCCAGTGCTTGGCACTAGGGTTGGAAGAGAATTTTCTCCATAAGGGAGAAATGTCTAAATGGCCCAGAATAATTTTGAACATAAGATTCATCATATTTTTCCATGCTACCTTTTCATGCTGCTTGCTAATTATGAGAGCTTTGTTTTGTGTTCTTTTGTTCCAAGTGCAAGAAAAGCATCAAAGGGAAACATAACCTTCATCAGAACAGTGATGGTAATGAAAATCTCTGTACTGTAATGGAAATAAGCAGTACTGATCTAAAATTTTTTAAGACTGGTAAGAATGGTGTATAGAAAGGCATGGGGAAAAGGCAGTTAAAATAATTGCTATGTGCTTAAAATCATTTCCTGTTCACATTTACCCTTTTTATAGAGCTCCTCTCTGACAGGACACCTCACTCTATTCTATCTATTTTCACAAAACAAAGTTAAAAATAGAATCTTCAAGAGTAAAGCTTACTGTAAATCAATCTTAAAATAGCTGTGTTGTGGGCTTAGAAAAGTCCCTTGTAGCTGGTAGGATGATCAAGGTGCTCCTCTAGCTCACCTTTCAGATGTAATGCTTGAATAAAACTTTAATATATACAGTAGGTAAATCTGGCAAAAGTTGGTCCAGCAGTTACATAGCTTAGTGCTGGTCTAGTTGGAAAAAATGAAATACATGTCAATAAAGAACAGACTTTGCCAGGAATAAATGACATATTAGATTCAGGAAATTCCTGTGTGTAAAACCCTGCTGCAAGATATCTGTAAAAATTCTTCTTGTGATTATAATGCTAAATTCAGCTGTATCTCACATTCATTTTATCTCTCTCCTGCTGGTAATCAGATGAATAATTTCCCCCGTATCTTAATCATCATCAAACTGTGAATTTGCACTCTGGGAAGGTGATATGCAAGACAGACTACTGTAGTTCTTGGCATTCTTGTTTTCTATCATATTTATATTTAACAGTTTTAATAGCATTAAGCCATAAGCAAATTGAACAGAAATGCAAAGCTGTATATTTTTACTTCCTATCTCATGACTTTTCTTTTATAAATACAACTTCTTCAGTGTTTTCATGGTTTAATAGCTATTCAATTTTTAAATAGCTGAAATTATATTGAATATGACCTATTAAAATTTAGTCTAGTCTGGGTTGTTATTTCAAAGGTAAGTGTCAGAGATCTTGCCATTCAAAGTGATCATAACCATGTAAGAAATAAAAGTCTTGAGTCTCTCTTTGCAGAATATTTGCCCCAACTAATTGACTTAGGTTCCACAGCATGAGCCACCTAGCTGGGAGTTTGAATCTATTCCTCATTCTTTTTTGTGTACAAATCAGTGGGGGGAAATGCAGTCATTATGATTATTTGCACAATTATGCCATGTTCAAGTTTCTGTGTTACTTTATATCCACTGAACTATAAATGGCACTGTAAACTGCTCTCTGTAGTACAGCAGTCATGTCATGCTGCTTTTTCCCTGCTTTTGCAGTCCCGTGGTCCATGCTGTTGTCTCTTGGTTTGCACTTGGGTGCTGGGAGGAGCCCCTCAGCTGATTGCCTTGGCAATGCCACCCAAGTGCTGGGGAGAGAGGCTGGCACACACGTCACTCCCCATCCCTGTGTATGCTGACATAAAGACCAGCACTTGCTTGACCTTGCTCAGAGGTCCCAGAAGTGTATAAATGGCTTGGGGCTTAAAATTTCCTTGTACTTAGAAGGTGTTTTTATAAGTGTCTTGAAGTTCCCTGTCTGACCTGGTAAAGCATTCAGAACATATCAGTAGCAGATCATCAATACCTAGTTAACCTTTTGCAAGACAATTTGAACATGTATTTGTTTTGCCTTTTTCTGTTTTTTAAACTAAAATTATGGGCAAGCATACAAAGGGAAAAAATTCAAAAGGGAGTAGCTAATTT